GTTAGATTAAGTTAGTTTAGGTTGAGATTATTTTAGGTTTTAGTGAGATTGGTTAGATAAGTTGAGATTACTTAAGATTACGGTGAAATAAGTTAGATTAAGATAAATTAGGTTATGTTCAACTGTATTTTCTTCAGTTTCATCCAGAGTTTTAACTATAGTTTATTAATTTTAAAATTAGTTAATAGTTTAATAATATTTAACTTTAGATTATCTAACCTATTAGATTATGTTAGGATAGATTCAGATTATTTGATGTATTGGTGAGATAGTTAAGTTAAGTTATGTTAAGTTTATTTTAGGTTATCACAAAATAAAAATATTGAAATTTTCACCTGAATTCAATTCCAGAAATGGATTAACATAGATCTCCAAGAATCGTTTACTTCCACTAACATTTAGCAATCTGTATTTACACGTCGATCTGCTGAATCTTAGTTTAGGATCATCGTGTTTGTTTAGCTTTTACAACTGTTTAGGTTCCGTCGGCATTCTGTAATTTTTACCACCACGTTTTTTTTTGTTTGCTTCATCTTCCTCTCGTCTTTTTCACTAATAAGTAAACTCTATTTCTGGCACCTGCATAGACGCGTATATCGATATTCACCTAATTTATTGGCACCTCGTTCAATCTGTTTCGACGATAAATTGTGGAAACTTTGCGGTCGAAAGATCCGAAAATAAACTACGTTTCTCAACTTTTCATAGCATAAATGCAAAAAAAAATAGATTCATCGATTGATTTTTCTACTTTTTCTTTGGGTTTTTTTTTATTAATCGAATACTTTGATGTATTTTATTAATAAAAAAAATGTTTAATTTTAATTACAACTTTTTTTGTTATGATTTTTGTCTTGCATTTGATTAACTGCACTAAATTCCAATTATAATTTGTACGAAAATTGACTAGATTTTTATTGTTTTTTATTAGAGATTTCATCTAAAAAATTAAGAAGAGAAAGAAAATGTGGATTTTTTAAGTAAAAAAAAAATCTTCAAATTCACTAAAAGAAAAGTTTAACTATATATTTTCATGATATTGAATTGTAATTAAACATAGTTATAATATTTGTTATATATTTTTTTTTAGAAAAATATTTGTAAATTTGATAATAAATAAAATATTATATGCAATTATGCAACGAGTTGCAACGTAATATTTTCATAAAAGCAATTTGTATAATAAATTACGTTTGGAACATTCGAAGCGTTAATTACAGCAATTTGCATGATGCACAAAACTAACTAAATCAGGTTATCCGCGCAACAATTCATCATCTCTGAAAACAATAATTTTATCACATGAAAATCAATGAACACATCAGTTTCTTTCTTTCAAGTCTTCTATTTTTTCGCATTAGCACTACGTATTATGGTGAGATAGTTTAGATTAGTTAGGTTAGGTAAAGATCATTTTAGGTTATGGTGAAATAGTTTAGATTAAGTTAGGTTAGGTTGAGCTTGTTTTAGTTTATGGTGAGAGAGGCTATATTGTGTTCAGATAATTTTAGGCTATATTCAGATAGGTTAAATGAGGTTATATAAAGTTAAATTATGTTAAGATTTGTTAAAATCTATCTTCATCCAAATCTATTACAAACTAAAATATTTGATTTCTTTCAGTGGTGAAAATTTTATATAAATTACATGAAATCAATTCCAGAAATGGATTGACAATATTTTTGTTATAAATTGAACGTCGTATTAAGACCAATTTCTAATCGGATCCTTTGTATTTCTTGGTAATCCTGGATCGTCGTTAATGCTGCAAGGATTATCGATCTGCAGAAGCGATGTTTATTCATAAGGGCTAATTTTCATAGTTTGTAAGGTTTCGATGTTGTTGTGACAACAAGGACGTCTGTTGTTTCCTGTCTTCTAATTTATTCGCATTAGCACTACGTATTCATTGGATTACTCAAGGACGTTAGGGAAATCCTTTTAATCAAGAGAGCAACTTAGTCCGAATCCAATTGGAAGTGTAACAGCTATGAATATGGAATAATCCTTGAATATTTACAGCTTTCCGAGATAAATTAAATAAACTACAACTTTTTAACAGGGCGACTAATAACCGAATGGTTAAGCATATGGACCTTTTCAGCCAAGTCGATGGATAATGATTAAAGATGTTAAGTATAACATAGATTCACAGTGAAAAATTATACGACATAACAAAACAAAGAAAGTTTTTAATGATTTTTTTGAAAATTGTCATAAAAGAAGCGTTACTATTTTGTTTTGTTGTCATTTCTGTTTCATTTAGGTTAACTCAATTTTTCATAAAAATTTCAATTCCGAGAAGCTTATATTTTAATTCTATAGTAATTCATATCAGACGAATTTGTTCTATATACTAGAAAAAGTTAATCAAAAATAATACAATATTTTGAATTTTGAATTTTTCATAATTTTTTTTTCTAATTTTACAAACTTTATCAGCTGAAATTATATTTGATTTCGAATTTGAAATATTGTTTTATTGATTTTTCCAAAAAAAATATCTATTTATGTAGTTTAATTTAAATGTTATTTAACAACAAAATAGTAATGCTTCTTTTATGACACTTTACTTTTTTTTGTTCTTAATTAACCATAATAATAATTAGTATTATGTAAATCATGTATGTTAATAATGATATAATCTATAGCAATTACATAAATTACATGAAATTATGTAAATATGTCATTAATTACGTTGAGATTAGTTCTCAGTAAATGAAGTTTAAAACATCTACAAATGTTGCTAGTATTATATTATACAAAATAAAACACGTTTATCTGTATAAGCTTTTGCATTTAAATGGACTAATCAACAACAAAAAAAAAAAGGACGAGGCATGTGCAGATGTAAATAAATCCTGTGACCTAAACGAAGTGCAATTACCATGTTAAATACTTAAAAAAAAGACTTTACCCGTATTTGGCGTTCATCCCTTAAAAGGGTCACAGATGAAGGGCTTTCCGTATATCATGTGTGAAAAAAAAGTTCACAAGCGAGATAAAAAGGTTGAAAAAAAAAAGGGTGAAGCCTAATATATGCACTTAACGACTTATATAAAAAAAAGGGATGGTATTTATTGCGTCGAGATAGAGTCGTGTTTCTTGAATGTATTGCGAATATATTCAAAAGGAGATTTTCTTTAGTTTTTCTGTTGTTGTTCTTGACTGTTCAATAATAATCGATTATGAACGGTGGATGTAATTATAGATGTTTGATGTTTACTCAGGAATCTTTGGATTCGCGTCGAGCTGTGTAGTTAATTAATTTCTGATAACCCCTATCGGTATTATGTGTCATTGGGGTAACCCTTTGTGTCTGCGACGTAATAATATCTGTTACTACAAATTGTGAAGTTAAATTAGGTAATATCTTCATTATAGGCGTTCGAATTCATTAAGTAACGTGACTAAATCGACGTCCATTAAGTACTAATGAGAGGATCTAATTCAATAATTACATATTTGGTTTAATAATTTCGGGATATAAAATTATATTTGTTACGTTTATAAATAATAATAAAACGTCTTTAATTATGTCTTTAGCAATCAATAAGTCTATTTAATTACATAAATTTCATAGAAAAAAATGTTTTTTTTTTTTAATTTCTCAGTTATAAGTAAACATACCATAATAATTTTTATATAAAAATATTCACAATAAAAAAGTACTCCTTGTGTATTTATAAAATTTCTAAAAAAAATATTGCCATAGAAAAATTCTGAAAAAATATAACTAAAAAAAAAAAATAAGATTTTTACATTTTTTTTTTATTACATTTTGAAGTAGAACATTATATAATAGTTACGTAATTAATATACTAATACACTGTCAAATGATCTTTATCTACTATAAAACGACGTAAATTATATCCACAGCAATTAAATAGTCTATTTAATTACATTAGTTTCATAGAAAATTTTGTAATTTGTTTACTAAATTTGCGAAAAAAAAAATATAAAATTTGACATATTTCAGTTATTAGTAAATATTATATAATAATTGTTATATCAAAAGAAGCGAAATAAAAAAGCGCTCCTTGTGTACTTATAAAATAAGTCTATTTAACAACATTAGTTTAATAGAAAATTTTGTAATTTGTTTAATAAAAATGCAAAAAAAATATACAAAATTTGTCATATCTCAGTTATTAGTAAATATTACAAAATAATTGTTAATAAAATAAGTCTATTAAACAACATTAGTTTCATAGAATTTTTTAAAATTTGTTTAAATTTAGAAAAATTGATATTTCTCACTTATTATTAAACATTTCATAATAATTGGTATATCAACAGATGTGCAATAAAAAAGTACTATGAACTAATAGAATTAGTATATTTAAAAACATTAGTTTCATAGAAAAAAATTGTAACCTATTTACTAAAAATGCGAAAACAAATTTAGAAAAAAATACATTTCTTAATCATTAGTAAACATTATTTAATGATTGTTATGTCAAAAGATGGTCAGTATCTTGGGACTCTTTATGTACTTATAATCTAAAAAAAATTGTTTTTGAGATATTTAAAAAAAAAGTACAAAAAGTTTTAGAAAAATTTCATTTTCATTTTTATGGATTAATAATTAAAAATATAGAAAATACAAGTAAAAATTAATACAATTTAAATTTTTTTATGGTATCTAAATAATTCCATAAAATTTTATTATTTTACAGTTTATTCATAATAATTTCATCAATAACTATTAGTTATTTAAATTATATTCGAATGATTAATTTTTTTTTCTAAATATAATACTTTTTTGTATTAATAAACGAAAATAATTGTAAGAATGATAGAAAATTAAGTTATTATTAATAAAACTATTGATATCCACAATTATACAATTACATAAAAGTATAAAATCAATGAAAATTGGTGTTATTTTTTATTGGGAAACGTTTTGTGAGACTTTTGTTGCGTTCACTGAATACGTTTCTTCCGTGTGTTATATGATTGTGTCTCATCGTTCACTCTTTTGTTTCTCGATGTTTCAGAGCGGAAGTGAGAAATGGAGGACCCGGAAATATTCGGAAATGCGAGCGACATCGTGATGAGAAGCAGAAACGTCGACCCGGAATTGATCGACAGATACATACATAACACAGCTATAGATCAACCTGCATATGGAATCCTCATCTCCATCTACGTAGTACTCATCGTTCTTGGAGCATTAGGAAATACTTTAGTGGTAAGTTTACATCAAACAAACAAACAAAAAACAATAATAACAAAAGTTAGTGCATAATTATCAGACGTTTTTTAAACAATATTTATTATGAAACAAGGAACATAAAAATTGTACAAGAAGATTTATTCCAGAAAAAAAATAATAATCAGCAAATTTTTATTAACAAAAACCCAACCCAATACTACAAATTTGATATTTTATAATTACGAATTGTAGTGCAACGTATAATTAATATTAAATTATATTAGTTTTCTGCTATAATCTGCAAATGCGAATATTGCATGACAATCACGAGAATTGTTCCAATTTCAATGTAATTATATTATTGTGTAATCTATACCAATAATTAAAATTATATACGAATATTTGCAAAGCGTTTAATCAATACGTTTAAATCATATTATTATATTAATAATGATAGTAATTTATACATAAAAGAGTTGAATTATTATTATATAGTTTCAATTAGTAAATAAAAGTTTTATACGATTAAACAAATATTGCGAAATTTAATGATGTAATTTTTTAGAAATTTATCATACAATTTTATGGAAATTAAATGACTTATAATAAATCATAGATAAGTATTATCTTTAGTAATATAAGTACAAATATTACATAATTGATGGATTACAAATAATGATAAAATAGATGATTATGAAGTGGAAAAAAATACTTTTATGGCTACAATTCTTTTGATCTAAAAATTATGTAATGTTCTTATCTCCATTAAATTATATGGAAAAACACACTTTTAATCTTAATTTTATATATTTTTTTTGGAACAAATTATGTATTTTTTTTTCTTGATTATGTGCTAGACAATTTTGTGGTCCAAATTTGCATTTGTTTGCTGTGTCAGATCTAATATCCGGGTGAAATAAATACGCTCATCTTCATGCACGTTTCCGGACAGCTGTAAATTCAGCAGTCAGGAAGACATCATCATCAGAGCGACAACCGCAAAAAAAAAACATAAAAAAAATTGAATTCGTTATGTCCGTTACGTAATATCCGGATGACAGTAAAATAATGGAAACGTACAATTTGTGGTCCGTACAAAAATGAAAAATTACATTACAAATTGTAATTGCGTTTTTTTGTCCATTTGTTTGTACTTCTTCATTAAATGTTAAATTCAGTAAAAAAAAACTTTACTTTGATAATACGCTTATTGAATTATACTAAGAAAATAAGTTCTATATTCTTTTTTGTTCATCGATAAAACAAAACGTTTTTTTCTAAATTTTATTTAAATATTTAATAATTTTGAGTAAATCTTAAATAATTAGGTCAAATAAATAGGCTATAGACTACATAATGATTGTAGGTAAATTGTTTTTATATGTAATAAAATAAATTTACCTTTTTTCCTAATTTTTGTTGATTTTTTTTGTGAATTGAAGTAATTGCATCTACAACTGACGATAGATGGCGTTGTAGTAGAAGTGATGCATTTTTGCTAGAAAAAACCACTAAATATTAATCATGTTAGGTATAAAATAAGTAAAAAAATAAAAGACCTCTAATTTTTTTTCTTACATTTTGACAGTTTTTAATTAAAAATATTTTAGTTTTTTTACATAATGAAATTTAACAAAAATTATATTATTATTATGTATTTTTACATTTAGAAATATGTATTGATTAGTAGTTTGAATATACTGTAATTGAATTGATAAAAAAATTGAAACAATTTTGATCTTAATGTATATTTTTTAGTTGATTGGTAAAACGAAGCGTTCTTGTTAAAAAAAAATACAAATTAATCCTTAATTACTTAGGGTTATAGTTTACATAATTATTTTGGACTAATTGTTTTATTTATTGTGAATTGAAGTAACTAGTTCTAAAACTGACGACAGATGGCGTTGTAGTAAAAGTTGTGCATTTTTTTCTAAATAATTACGTTTAGAACAAAACCACTAAATATTAAGTATGTTAGGTGTGAAATTATAAAAAAGATAATAGACGTTTACTTTTTTCTTACATTTTGACAGTTTTTAATTAAAGATATTTTTGTTTTTTTTTACATAATGAAATTTAACAAAAATTATATTATTATGTATTTTTACAATTAGAAATATGTATTAATTAATAGTTTGAATATACAATAATTGAATTGATAAAAAAACTGCAATAATTTTGATCTTAATGTATGTTTTTTTAGTTGATTGGTAAAACGAAGCATTCGAAGTAGAAAAAAAATACAAATTAATCCTTAATTAATTAGGGTTATAGTTTACATAATTACTTTGGACTAATTGTTTTATTTATTGTGAATTGAAGTAATTAGTTCTAAAACTGACAATAGATGGCGTTTTAGTTATTGACATATAGGAGGTGCATTTTTTTTCAAAATAATGACGAGTAGAAAAAGACATAAAATGTTATATGTCTTAAATGTTCCGTTTATACAGGTCTTAATTAAAAATTTAACAAAAACCAAATGATAATCGAAATTTGTAATTTTTCAGAATTTTATCTGAAATAAAACAGTAGTTGAGTAAATCAATAAAACACCAGTCTACACGACCCGAATCAATCTATTTGATCAGAATCCTCTCATTTGAAAGTCCTCAGCAAGATAAAAAGAAAAGAAAAAAACGCACGTCTTAAAACGACGTTTCCGCAATTCAATTTCCTTCCCGTTTCAATCCTCTCGGCATTTCACTACCGTTATATTATTTTTAAAGTCCTTCGTCCGTCGAGTGTTTGCGCAACACACGGGATCTCTCGCATCCTTAAAAGCTTTCCGTCCTCGATCCTCCGACGAACAACCGAACCAATTAGTTTCCGAACGGACGATAGATGGCGTTTCGGACATTAACGCGCAGCGGGTGCACTTTTCCACCCAGCAATGAGGAAAACAGAAAGTAGACAAAAGAACAATAACGCAATGAAAAGTGAGCGTCGCGACGGCGCCCACTCGATTTTTCCCTTCACTTCGCTCCCCCAATAATATTTTACTGCCTCGGATAGAAAGAAAAGGAAGGGGACTATTCAAAGGGATACACCGAACTTCCGGGATTACTCACTAATTGCGGAAACCGCCTTGATTTATTTCTATTTATATATTTTTTCTCTCATAAAACAGAACGACGTAAAACAAGGAAACGCTAGCGAATTTTCCCTAGAGATGAATTAATTACGTTTCCGCCCTTAAATTTCGACGTTCATTGCGATTTAATTAATAACCGCCTTCAATTCTTTTCTATTTTATGATTAAATTTCGCTGATGTAAACAATTTTTTTTACACGTGGTCCAATTACTTTTTATTCTTTTTGCAGATGTTGCGTTTAATTTAATTCAATTAGGTTTGTTTGTAACGTTTTAATTGGATGGTCGGATTATTCCTAACGCTTTAATTAACCGGTATTTCCATCCTAACTCGCAATGAAACGGGCGTATACATTGCGCTTAACGGAATGATTACAATGTGCGGGGATAATTGTTCGGATTTATTTCGAAATGCAGTTTGGAAATGTTTGCGAGCAACAACAAATCATCATTAAAACCGGGCGTTATAATTATGTGCTCGACCTAATGAACTTGATCTAATTCGTACAAAGTATTGTTCTGCAAATGTGTATTACTGTTTGTAATTTCGTTAAACTTGAATCAATCGACTGGAACAATACTGCTCATGTTTCATCACTTTTTTTAACAGAAGGTATGAATACAAACTGTTTTAGTCAATTTCATTAAAAAAGATGGATCCAAAAGATGCATATGAAAACTGGATGTTTAGGGAATATAGTGAATATTCATAAATTACTGTGATTTCATCCACTTTGTCTATAATTCTTGATTAAATTTGAAAAAAATAAACGTTCGAAAAACAGTGATTATCTCAGAAACTATAAAGCACTGAATGGATCCAAAAAATGCATATGAAAGCTAGATGTTTATGGAATGTAACGAGTATTTACATATTGATGTGGTTCAATCCATTTGGCTGTAATTTGCCGTTCAAATTTGAAAATTAACTCTAATTGTAAACATTCCACTAGATGGCGTTTCAATAAAATGATTATTTTTAAAACTACAATAAGCATAGTTCACAGAATAAACATCAATTATCTAATTAATCTAAATTACTTTTTAATTATTAGAAACTGTTTGTAATAAATATTATTATTTTGTAATGTATTTATTTAATCATATTTCTTTCAAATAAAACATTAATATATAACGAATATAAATACATAAATATACAGAAAATCCGATAGATGGCGTTTCAACAAAAGATGATTATTTCTTATTTTTGCTCTGTTTTTTTTCAAAAATGATCTCTGTATTGTTTTAGTTTAAAAGTGTGAAAAAAAAAAATGATTCACATCTTCTAAATTTAAATATTGTGCACAATAATTATCAATCGTAATACAAAAAGAAATACAGTTTTTATTTTGAAAATGGGACAAAATGTACACAGCCTTGGGGTATACCATATAAAATTATGAAAAAAAAGCCTAATTTTATTTGTAAATTTATCATTCTATCTTCTTTCTATTTCTATCACATTGCATTGATTTTGAAGTGAATTGTAATGAATTCAGCAGTCGTTCATGAAAAGCGGTTTCAATTATTGACCGGCAATCCAATTACCTTTGAAGCTCCAAAAAAACAAAGCATGGTTTTCGGTTATTTTCCACAACAATCGTACCTTTTTTTTTCACATTACAGCAATTAAAAATGTTTCCGCAAATGTCGATGTTAATTGCATTGGAATGGAAATACCGAATCCGTAAATAATATTGAAAACCTCTATGTTATTGCCTTCTGGCGGTAAACAAGTATTGATCTGAAAATGCTCGTAAAATCCGAGCGGAATATATGATGTGATAATTGAAATGAGCCAATAACTCGAGTTACGTAAGTATAGGTGAAGTAGATAGAAAAATAAAATGAGTATGTATGTATATATAGATATTAGATATATACATAAATTGGCTCGAGGTCTTTCCTATATAAAATCCGTGAAAAATAACCATTTTTT